GGCTTTAGAGTATGGTTTACCACCAACAGCTGGATGTGGTATAGGTATTGATAGATTAACTATGTTTTTAACTAATTGCTGTAATATTAAAGATGTAATTTTATTTCCAACCATGAAACCTGAAACATCAAGTCAAGCTGAAGCTTTAACAAAAATGACTGATGATTTGAATTTAAAATAAATTTGTAATTTGATATTTTTTACATTTTTTTAATCATGCTTTATATTGACTAATTTCTTGGCTTACGTTTTATCTATTTCAGTTTATATTTCTCTCTTGACTCTATTAACTATGTTTTTAAATGTAAATAGTCTCTTTATTAAATATTTTTATCACTTTGTAATTGATATTGTTAATTATAAGTAATTTATTTAAAGATTAAAATAAGTTACTTTTTTTAAAGTTTTAGCTTTTTAAAAATCAACTAAGTTAACACTATAAATATAGTAATTCACTTCAAAAATTTCAGAAAACAGTTGATTTATAAAATTTTTAATATAATAATATTTTGAACTATGATATATTCTTTTAAAAATTTTAAATATATTAGAAATAACTTTTATAAATTTTTAAAAAAACACAAAAAATTTCTTTTATATAATTGTGATGGTTGTTGCTGCCTTGTATGCTTAAATATCATTTAAAATTGATCTCTTTTATTTATATTTTATTAATTAATTTGTAACAATAATTTTACAGCATAAAATATACAGTAGTGTTCAAAAAAATTTGCACACAAAAAGTTTTTAAAACATATTATTACAAAGTATATAATTAATTTTTTTTCAATAACGGTATATATTTAAATAATATAAACAGCTGAATTTAAAAAATAATAATAAGTTTATACAAGAAGGAGAAAAGCTTTACTAAAATTTAAAAAAAAATTACCAAAAGAAATGTGACCAGAAATAAATCTTTCTCAAAAATCAATTTTTAAACAATTTATAATTATTAATACATGTCGAATCATATTACACATGACTTTAAATTTTAATTAAAGATGTTTTAAAATTGGTTTTGAGTCAAGGAGAGATGGCTTCAAAAAGACAGCTTAGTAAAACTTTGATGTATAATATCAATAAGAAGATTAATAATCCAACCACACTAGTAAAAAATATGGTTTTGTCGACCAGAAATATTGTCTAATGAATTGAAACGTTAGTTATTCTTGATTTATGATAAAAACCATAAAGAATCTTGTGTAAAGATTGCACAAAAATTTG